GGTTCAACGAGTTTTCCAGACATGCACCAGCCTTAATTTCCACATTCAGAGAGCGAGTCCGTCGATTTATCAAGGGGCTCAACCACGATATTAGATTCAAAATGTCTCGAGAGTTGGCGACTGATACCCCATACCAACAGGTGGTGGAGATCGCTCGGAGATTGGAGGGTATGTGAGGATGGGAGAGAGAGGAGAGGGAGGCCAAGAGGCCTCGAGGTTCTGGCACATATAGTGTAGCGCGTGCCCCAATGGAAGCCCGACATGGTAGAGGCTATATGAGCCGTCCTGTTCATTCAGCACTCCTAGCTTCCAGCGGTGTTCCGGCTACTCCCAGGCCTCAGGTTGCCTATTTATGCATCGCCACTGTCTAGTGCACCTCCTACATGGAGTGTTTTCAATGGACGGTCCAGTCGGCCAGGCCCAACTAGTTTTAGCAACCATGGCCTCTGAGAGCTTGTTTTAAGTGTGGTGATACTCGTCACATGGTGAGGTGAACCATCACAAACTACTCCGGCTCCACATATTCCACAGGGCACCCAGACTTCTCAGGTTGTGGTTACCATACCAGTTGCCCCTCCACTTGCACAGCCAACTAGAGGTGGAGGTCGGGCGGGTAGAGGTCGCCCTAAAAGTGGAGATCGGGAAGGTAGAGGTCGCCCTAGAGGGGGAGGCCAGGCCAGATGTTATGCTCTTCCGACTAGGACGGAGGCGGTTGCATCCGACTCAATTATAACATGTATTGTTCCGATTTGTCATAGAGATGCATCAGTCTTATTTGATCCAGGATCCATTTATTCCTATGTATCATCTTACTTTGCTCCATATTTGGGTATATCCGGTGATTTCTTGAGTTCTCCTATCTATGTGTCCATGCTAGTGGGGGGTTCCATTGTTAATGACCATGTGCATCGGTCGTGTTTAGTTGTTCTTGGTGGTTTTAAGACCAGAGTTGACCTATTGTTGCTTAGTATAATATATTTTGATGTTATTTTGGGCATGGGTAGGTTTTCGCCCTATCATGCTATTCTTGATTGTCACGCCAAGATGGTGACGTTGGCTATGCCAGGCTTGCCGCGGTTAGAATGGAGGGTACTTTGGATTATGTTCCTAGTAGGGTGGTGTCTTTCCTTAAGGTGCAACAGATGGTTGGGAAGGGGTGTGAGGCATATCTAGCCTTTGTGAGAGATGTTAGTGTTGATACTCCTACCGTTGAGTCAGTTCCGGTAGTGAGGGACTATCCAGATGTATTTCCGATGGATCTTCCGGGTATGCCGCCTAATAAGGATATTGATTTTGTTATTGATTTGTTGCCGGGCACTCAACCCATTTATGTTCCAACATATTGTATAGCCCAGCGGAGTTGAAGAAGTTGAGCAGTTACAAGAGTTGCTTGATAAAGGCGTTATTTAGCCTATCGTGTCGCCTTGGGGTGCTCTGGTCTTATTTGTAAATAATAAGGATGGTTCTATGCGCATGTGTATTGATTATCGACAGTTGAACAAGGTTACAGTGAAGAACAGGTATTCATTGCCACGAATTGATGACCTATTTGATCAGTTACACGGTGCTAGAGTGTTCTCAAAGTTTGATTTGCGGTTAGGCTATCATCAGTTGAAGATTCAGGATCCGGATATTCCAAAGACTGCCTTCAGGACTCGATATAGTCATTATGAGTTCCTTGTGATGTCATTTGGGCTGACCAATGCCACAACATCATTCATGCCCTTGATGAACATTGTATTCTAGCCCTATCTTGACTCATTCGTCAATGTGTTTATTGACGACATCTTGATGTACTCCTAGAGCCGAGAGGATCATGAGCTTCACCTTAGGATTGTGCTCCAGACCTTGAGAGAAAAGAAGTTATATGGAAAATTTTCAAAGTGTGAATTTTGGCTTGATTCGGTGGCATTTTTAGGTCATGTAGTGTCGAGTGAGGGGATCAAGGTAGATCTGAAGAAGATTGAAGCAGTGCAGAGTTGGCCCAAACTGTCTTCAGCTACTGAGATCTGAGTTTTCTTGGTTTGGCAGGGTATTATTGTCGATTCATAGAGGGTTTCTCATCTATTGCTGCACCTATGATCATATTGACCCAGAAGGGTGCTCCATTCAGATGGACCGAGAAGTGTGAGGAGAGCTTTCAAAAGCTCAAGACTGCTTTGACTACAACCCTAGTGTTGGTTTTTCATATGGGTTTAGGGTCTTACACTGTGTACCGTGATGCGTCACGTGTTAGCCTCGGCGCGGTATTAATGCAATACGGTAGGGTGATTGCCTACGCATCTAGACAGCTGAAGGTGCATGAGAAGAATTATCTTATCCATGACCTTGAGTTAGAAGCTATTGTTCATGCCTTGAAGATTTGGCGGCACTATTTGTACGGTATCCCTTGTGAGGCCTATACTGACCACGAAGTCTACAACATCTGTTCAAACAGAAGGATCTTAACTTGAGTTAGCGGAGATGGTTAGAGTTTCTTAAGGACTACGATATCACCATTCTATATCATCCCGGGAAGTCCAATATGGTGGCTGATGCCTTGAGTCGAAAGGCGGAGAGCTTGGGCAGTTTAGCATAGCTAAAGGCAGTAGAGAGGCCATTAGCATTGGATGTTCAGGTGTTGGCCAACCAGTTTGTTAGATTGGATATTTCGGAGCTGAGTCAAGTTTTGACTTGTGTGATTTCTCAGTCTTCTCTCTATAATCGTATCAGAGAGCGTCAGTATGACGACCCCCATTTGCTTGTCCTCAAGGACACTGTTTAGCATGGCGATGTCAAGGAGGTTACTATTGGGGATGACGGTGTGTTACGGATGCATGGCCGGCTATGTGTGCCCAATGTAGATAGATTGCATGAGTTGATTATTCAGTAGGCCAACAGTTCGCGGTACTCCATTCATCTGGGTGCCGCTAAAATATATTAGGACTTGAGGCAACACTATTGGTGTAGGAGAATGAAGAAAGACATAGATGAGTATGTGGCTTTGTGCCTAAATTATCAGCAGGTGAAGTAGGATCATCAGCGGCCAGGTGGGTTGCTTCAGAGGCTTGAGATTTCCGAGTGGAAATGGGGGCGGACTACCATGGATTTTGTTGTTCATCTCTCACGGACTCATAAGAAGTTTGATGCAGTATGGATGATTATGGATAGGTTGACCAAGTTGGATCATTTCATTCCAGTGGTAACTACTTATTCTTCAGAACAGCTGGCTCAGGTCTATATTCGCAAGATTGTCCGACTTCATGGCGTTCCGGTATCCATCATCTCTAGCTGGGGTACTCAGTTTACATAGCAATTCTGGAAAGCCGTACAATGAGAGTTAGACACATGGGTTGAGTACAACATTCCACCCTTAGACAGACAGACAGTCCAAGCACACTATTTAGATATTAGAGGCTATGCTTCGTTCATGTGTGATAGACTTCGGGGGTTCTTGGGATCAGTTCTTATCGCTTGCAGAGTTTGCCTATAACAACAGCTACTAGTCGAGCATTCAGATGGCTCCATATGAGGCCTTGTATGGGAGGCGGTATCAGTCTCCGGTGGGTTGGTTTGAGTCGGGCGAGGCTAGGCTATTGGCTACTGACCTGGTTTAGGATCTTTTGGAAAAGGTTAAATTGATTCAAGATAGGCTTCGTACAGCCCAATCTAGACATAAGAGTTATACGGATCGGAAGGTTCATGATGTTGTGTTCATGGTTGGAGAGCGGGTCTTGCTCTGGGTTTCGCCCATGAAGGGTGTTATGAGGTTCAGGAAGAAGGGAAAGTTGAGCCCTAGGTATAACGAACCTTTTGAGATTCTTGAGCGGATTGGAGAGGTGTCCTACAAGCTTGCACTGCCACTTAGTATAGCTGCAGTTCATCCAGTATTCCATGTTTCTATGCTCTGAAAGTATCACGGTGATCTGTCTCATGAGTTGTATTTCAGCTCAGTCCAGTTGGACATGGATTTGTCTTATGTTGAAAAGTCGGTGGCTAGTTTGAACAGGAAGGTCTGAAAGTTGAGGTGGAAGAACATTGCTTCAGTGAAGGTTTAGTGGAGGGGTCAACCAGTCAAGGAGGCGACTTGGGAGACCAAGCATGATATGCGTAGCCGTTATCCTCATCTTTTCACCACTTTAGGTATGTCTTTATACTCGTTTGAGGATGAACGTTTGTTTTAAGAGGGGGAGGATGTAACGACCTGGCCAGTCATTTTGAATATTTTAGCCCCGATCCAATATTCATTGCCTCCTCTATGTTGTATTATGGTTATGTGACTTGCCGAGGGTGTTTGGTTATGGTTTTGGATTTGTTTCGGAGTGAAATGAGACACATAGTGCCTAAGTTGGAGGTTTAAGTTGAAAGAGTTGACCGTAGTTTGACTTTTGTATAGACGACTCCGGAATGGAGTTTTGATGGTTTCAATAGCTCTGTATGGTAATTTTAGATTTAGGAGAGTGTTCGGATGTTGATTTGGAGGTTCGTAGGTCGTTTCGACTTGAATTAGCGAAAGTTAGAAAGTGGAAGGTTTGGATGGTTGAAAAGTTTGATCGGGAGTTGACTTTATTGATATCGGGGTTGGATTTCGATTTCGGGAGTTGGAATAGGTCAGTCATGTCAATTATGACTTGTGTGTAAATTTGAAGTCAATAGGAGTTGTTTTGGTATGAATTAGTTTTGGAATTCGGAAGTTCATAGTTTCAATAGGCTTGAATTGTGTTGCGGTTCGTAGAATCGTTGTTCTTTATGTGATTTTTGGTCTCGAGTAGGTTCGTTATATGTTTTGAAACTTGTCGGTATATTCGGACAGGGTCCCGGGGGCCCCGATTCAGATTGTATCTGGATCAAATTTGGAGTTGTGTGATCACTGAAGCTGGGTTGTGTCTGGTGCAATCACAGCTGCGCACTTTGGGCCGCAGGCGCGACACCGCATAAGCGGCCTTCGAGCCGCAGAAGCGAGTTTGGTCTTGCCCAGCTGGGACCGCATATGCAATTAGATTGTAGAAGCGAGGGCGCATATGCGTTTGGGTGGTCCACATAAGCGAAATCTCAGGACCTTAGTGAGAACCACATTCGCGCTGGTAATTAAGCAGGTACGGAGCTGCAGATGCGGCTGTGGTTTCGGAGATGCAAATTCAGTGGGCACAAAAGGGCTAAGTTCGAGGGTTTGATTTCATTATTCATTTTGGACCTAGAAAGCTCGGTTTATGTTGATGTTTCAAGAGATTTTCAAGAAATTAATCGGGGTAAGAGATTCTAACTTGGTTTTGGTTATTTTATACTAATCCATTGTTATTTTCATCATTTAATTAGTGATTTGAGTTGAAAATTTGAGGAAAATTTGTGAAAACCTTCTAGACTAAATTTGAGATTTTGAAAGGCGATTTTAGGTCGGATTTGAGTAATTCTTATATGGTTGGACTCGTTATCGAATGGGTGTTCGGGTTTTGTAATTTTTGTCGAGTTTCGAGATGCAAGTCCGGGGTTGAATTTTGAGTTGAATTTTTATTTCTCTTCAAATATCATAACTTTATTGTTCGGAATATCATCCTATAGTTTATAATTATGGTATGAAGTTATTTTGGCTAGATTCGAATCGTTCGGAGTTGGATAATTGAGGGAAAGACTTACTAGTGGATTGAGTTAGCGTGTTTTGAGGTACGTGTCTTGCCTAACTTTGTGTGGGGGAATTACCCCTTAAGATTGGTGTTGGTTTATGTTAATTGTGATATGTAAAAGCCGTATACGTAAGGTGATGAGTGTGTACAGGGGCTTAAATTTACTGGTTTTAGCTATGTAGATTCCTTTCATGCCTTAATTGAGTTACTTTAACATGTTATATTCATCATCATTAGTCTATCTTCACATGCTCTACTTGTCTTATCTCTTACTTGCTAATTGTCTTTACATGTTTAGTTAAAGTATTGTTTCCTCTATTCCTTATTCATTATTTACCCGTTGAGTTCTTTACTTGAAGTTGTTGTTCTTGTGATATCTTTTTGTTGAAATTGGTATTGAGTTATGAAGGCCGTGATTCACATTGAGGCAAAGTTGTAAAGTTGTGAAATACCATTCTAGTTGAGTTATTCATCTTCGATTGTTATTGTTAAGACTTCTGTGCATATTATGGTTGAGCCATGGGCTATTTATTGTGAAAACACTGTTACTGTTGATTTCTTTGGCAAGTTGTGATATTGGGCACTTGAGGTGCGATTTGTGAGATCTTGTATAAGGTTTTGGGGTTGAAACGCATGTGGTAGCATAAGGTTTTGGGGTTGAAATGCATGCGGTGAGATAAAGTGGGCTTGATATGCGTGTTGCTAGCAGGGGAACTACTTGAAGCCACGTGGTGTGATAAGGTGGGCTAAAACGCGGATGCTATTTCGGGAAAAATAATTTTCAAAACTAAATGCAAGGCTCCCGTTGTGGTATAAGGAATGATTGTGAAATGTTTTGTGATTTGAGACTACGAGGCAGTACCTCGATAGTAATTCTTGTTGATACTTTTCTATTACTTCACTTGTGTTTTGTTGCTTTGTTCCGTATCATATCATTCCTTGTTTTTCTTCTGTGATGCATTATTTGCCTTAGTTCAATGTAGCTAATTTCGGTGTATTTATTTATTGTCTCATTTCTAATGTTATCATTATATCATTGTTATATATATGTTGAGTTTCTTATTTATTCCAGTAGGGCCTTCACCTGATCTCGTCACTACTCTACCGAGGTTAGGCTTGACACTTACTGGGTACCGTTGTGGTGTACTCATGCTACACTTCTGCACATCATTTTGTACAGATCAAGGTACCTCCTACCAGTCCAGGCACCAGTGAGACGATCCCAGTTCGGAGACTTTAAGGTATACCTGCCGGTGTTCGCAGGCCTCGGAGTCACCCTCTATCTAGTCTATTTTCTTTTCTTATCCTTATACAGGCACTGATGTATAGGGAGGTTCAGTACCATCTATAGAGCTTGTGACTTTTATTCGTCAGATTTTGGGAAGTTGTGTTTTGTTGAGTTACGGAGTTTCTTTATATGATAGAGGTTGAGTTATTTGAAGGTTCTTTGTAATTTCTCAGGTAATATTGAATGTATGTATGACTTACCTAGTCTTTAAGACTAGGTTCCATCACGACTTCCTACGGAAGAAAATTGGAATCGTGACAGTCCACCATTTAAGATCAACAATTAATTTTAATTTTCTAACAAATAACTTAAGGAATGGAAAGTCAGAAGAGTTGTATGTGCTTACAGCTTCAAGTAACTATTATATTAACAAATTTATGCAGAGGTACGTAGCTCAAAATTGGAGTCAAGTGACTGCTCCAGATCTGTTTCTTCATGAGGAAGGGTATAACATTTCTAAACTTCATACATTTGATGATTTGAAGGATATTCTATATGGAGGATCATACACGATTAATAGTATACCAATGATCTTGAAACAATGGACCCTTGAATTTGACCTTACGACTGAATTCTTAACTGAAATTCGACTATGGATTACATTACCAAATCTGCCAATGAGTTGCTGGGGAAATAAGGCTCTAAGTAAAATAGCAAGTGCCATAGGAAAGCCACTCTTTGCGGATGAATGCACATCAAATCAGATGCGCATATCCTATGCAAGAATTTTGGTGGAGGCAAATGTCACTAAAAAGCTTCCAACTGAGTTGACACTACAAGATCCATATGGAAGAATGTTCCAACAACAGGCGATATATGAATGGAAACCACACTATTGTGCTGAGTGTATGAATATTGGCCATGATTGTGAACTAACTAAACGAGAAAACAAAGAAGAGCATCCTAGAGGAAGGAAAAGACAGGAGAAAGTCACTACAAGGTGGTAAGTTAAAAGGCAGGGACAACAGTCTTTAGTTGGGCAGAACAATGCATCAACCAAAGAACAGGCACATGATCAAGCTACTGTAACAACAACTAGTGAGCCTAGTGTGGAAACTGCAATAATAAAGGACAAAGGGAAATCAAAGGAAACCCAAAACCAAAGAGTGAAAACAGAATAGCCAGCACTGACTAGTAACAGGAAAGTTGTACCTGGAACAACTTCAGTATCAACTCACAATGGATTTCAAATTTTGCAGAGAGAAGATAAGAGAATTGAGAATCCTATGCCTCCTGATATAGGAGGTGGAGATACACTACTATAATGACTTGATTGATTTGGAACATTAGGGGTTTGAATAAGCGATATAAGCAAAAAGAAATAAAGTAGTACATAAAGGAAAAATATATAAAGCTAGCTTGTCTAGTAGAAACAAAGATGAAAGAAGCTAAAGCAGAAATGGTGATGAGTAGAATTGCCTCTGGATGGAACAGGATTACTAATTATGAGCATGCAGTGAATGGTAGGGTATGGATTATATGGGATGATCAAATGTATGATGTGCTGCCAATTGCAAAACAAGATCAATTTATCCATTTCCAAGTTACAGGGAAACATAATGGAATGCAATGTTATCTCACTGTGGTGTATGGAAAAAAAATAGTTGAATAGAGGAAGAGCTTATGGAAACATCTTCAAAGAATAGCATAAATAACTACAGGACCATGGATAATTGGGGGAGATTTCAATGCACTACTTACTCCCCGAGGCAGCTTGTCTAAGGTGCATGTGACCAATGTTGACATTAGAGACTTCTCATAACTATGCCACAACATCAGTCTTACAGAGATTCCTTGGACAGAGGACTATTTCACATGGATTAATAAACAACAAGGTGATGCCAGAGTGTGGAGTCGCATAGATAGACTATTGGGAAATGATGTCTGGATGATGAATTATGCCCATATAGTCACAGAGTATGGAGAGCCCTATATTTCATATCATAACCCTATGATTACTGCTATAAGGCAGCCTAAGACTCAAACCAAATGTCCAATCAGGTTCTTCAATGTTTGGGAAAATAATGCATCTTTTCAATTGATGGTAGCTGAAGGGTAGAGAAAGAACAAAGCATAAGAGAAAATGAAGAACATCTGGTTCAAACTTAAAGATCTTAAAAGTCAGTTTAGGCACCTAAATGCAACAAAATTCAAAGTAGTAACAGAAAAGATAGAACAAGCTCGGATAACACTCTCTCAAGTCCAAAGTCAAATGCAAACACACTACTCTGATGCATTACTAGACCAAGAAAAGGAATGGCTACACAAATTGGAGAAATGGTCACTTGTGGAAGAATGGATTCTCCAACAGAAGGCCCGAGCAACTTGGATCAAATTAGAAGATTCCAATAATAAATTCTTTTCATCTGTCATAAAAGAGAGACAACAAAAGAAACATATCACTGAAATACAAGCAATATCAGGCTTTACTATTATAGAACCATCAACTATTAGGGAGGAGATTGTACAATTCTATAAAAGTCTGATGGGGTCTAGGGCTAACAAGCTACCTGTTGTCAGTATGATGGTTATGAATAATGGGCCGATTCTAACACATCAACAACAATAGAGATATGAGCAGAAGTGACTGACCAGGAGATATATGATGGACTGAAAGGTATTGGAAGTGACAAAGAACCTGGAATAGATGGCTATAATGCTGAATTTTTCAAGAGAGCTTGGCATGTGATCAAAAAGGAAGTTTTTGTCACAGTGAAAGACTTCTTTTACACAGGTGTAATGTATCTGGCTATCAACTGCATCACTATAACCTAGTTGCCTAAGATCCCAATCCTGTGACAATCAAGGATTTCAGGGCCCTTGCTTGTTGCACTGTATTGTACAAGCTGATATCTAAGGTCATTGCTGGAAGATAGCAAAAACTAATGCCATAAATTATATCTTAAGCTCAAGCAGGATTTATCCCAGGGAGAAAAATAGTAGATAACATCATACTAGCCCATGAACTTGTCAAAGCATACAACAGGAAACATATATCTCCCAGATACATGCTAAAGGTGGACATAATGAAAGCTTATGACTCAGTGGAATGGGTGTACTTGGAGCAGCTTATGGAATACTTAGGCTTTCCTACAAAATTCCTCTGATGGGTGAAAACATGTATGTCAATAGTGAGCTACTCTATCATGATCAATGGAGAATTGACAAAGCCTTTTAATGCAGCTAAATGGCTTCGACAAGGTGATCCCATGTCACCATTCCTGTTTGCCATTGCCATGGAGTATCTGAGCAGGCTACTTAGAGGATTGAAGCAAATAAAGGAGTACAAATGCCATCCAAGATGTAGCAAAATGAACATCACTCATCTCAGCTTTGCATATGATCTACTCATGTTTGCCATGGGTGACACTGGTTCTGTGCAAGCTCTACACCAATGCTTCAGGCAATTCTCTACTGCTTCAAGTTTACAAGCTAATCTAACAAAGAGTTCTATATACTTTGGAGGAGTGGCAAAACCAGAACAAACGAGAATACTGCAAATTACAGGCTATTCACTAGGGAAGCTACCTTTCAAATACTTGGGGATTCCATTAGACACAAAAAAGATAACTATTCTTCAATGGCAACCTTTGATAGAGAGAATTGTAGTAAGGGTGTCTTCATGGACTACTAGGAAGCTATCTTATGCTGGCAGAGTGCAGCTTGTGCAGACTGTATTAATTGGCATCCAATCTTACTGGGCACAATTGTTCATCATACCAGAAGAGGTTATGAAGCTGGTAGAGGCCTATTGTAGGAGTTACATTTGGTCTGGTACCAATACAATCACAAAGAGAGCATTGATAGCTTGGGACAAGAAGTGCATACCTAAATCAGTAGGGGTTATAACCTAATAAATCTCCAAGTGTGGAATGAGGCAGCAATTACTAAAATATACTGGGACCTGGCTCATAAGGAGGATAAAGCTTGGATAAGATGGATCCATGCATACTACATCAAAGAGCAAAACATACTTGACATGGCTATTATCCACAACAGGCAAGTTGGATGGTGAGGAAGATTCTGGATGCTAGGAAAAATGCATAGCAAATACCTGCACTAAACCAGCAGAAGAGCTTCATTAAGCAGATATACTTAGGTCTTCTAGGGAATCATAACAAAGTAGAATAGAGAAGCTTGCTATTCCATAATGAGGCTAGACCTAAAACAGTGTTTACAATGTGGCTCCAGTGTCATGAAAGACTGTTAATTGTGGATCGATTAGCCAAATGGGGAATCCAAGTGAATTCAAGGTGTATTCTGTGTATGGTTGCAGAAGAATCTCATCTCCATCTTTTTGGTGAGTGTAGCTTCTCCAAAGCAGTATGGATGAGATTGCTGAGATGGTTAATACTACTGAATGTCCCAACTAATTCTTGGCAACAAGTGTTTACATGGTTGTTTATCCAATCCAAAGGTAAGTCACTAAAGGCAAGGATACTCAAGATGATGTATGCAGAATATAGTTACGTGATCTGGAAAGAGAGGAACAGTAGAGTGTTTGAAGATCAAGCAAGGAATGTAAAATGGCTAGGGAAGTGGCATGCATATGCAACATTAGAGCACAAGGGGGAGTGAGGACAAAGATGCAGCAACTTCATTTCTAAGGCAAAACAACAATACAAAGATCAGCGAGCTAGCTAGTAATTTGTGGATTTATGTACTGCTTATAGTATAGTTATAGAGATAGGACTATGTATGGATTGTAGCAAGTCGTGGATGACTTTGCTGATTTGTAATGATTGCTCTTGGTGATTAATAAAATATTCTAATTGCCAAAAAATACAATTATATTAACTTAATTTCTGTGCATGGATTAGACAGTTTATTTTTTATCTCTATCATTTAAATCACCAAAAAGATAATTGTAGGGAAGTGTTAATTGATTATTAACCTGGACGTAAGGTAGATTCTTTAAATATTAATTTATACTAATAATATAATTTTTTACGTTGTCGGTGTATATATAAGATGAACAACGAAAGCAAACAAGTGTGTCAAAGCAATTTGCTTCACACATGCAAAGATCCAACTCGTTTAATATCTTAACATATTTTAAGAAATCATCAAATAAGCAGAAATGTGGAGGAACTATAAACCAATAAGTAAATTGCCAAAATTCATCAATATTTTCTGAGTGATGTCTAACAAAATTATTTGGCTGCTTTTTCTATTGATCCCCATCCGGATGAATTATAAGCATATCTTTCCAGCACGAGCTTATAACTTTGACTTTTTCTAGAATCGATGTATGTACAATTATTTGTATTATGGGAAAAAAACACATCATTAGCTATTGTGCCCATTATCGGTGTATAAGTATAATTTTTGAGATAGTAACTTCTCTCGGAGTTTGTGAAATTGTATTTTTACGAAATTACATTTACTTGTGTCACGACCCGGAATCTTAACCTCGGGATCGTGATGACGCCTAATATCCATTTGCTAGGCAAGCCGACGTGAGATAATTAAATAGCCAATTTTTAGTTAAAAGCACAATGATGATATACAACGAGAAATAGAAACCCAATCTGCTACAGTACCAATATAAGTCACGTGATAATATCTACTCCTAGAAATCTAGAGTCACGGGTACACGAGCAACTAGAAGTCTACAAATAAAGTTTGAAGTAAATACAACTGTTTCGAAGGAAATGAACAGTAAAAGTGGGAAAAGGAAGGAGACTTTAAGGTCTGCGGATGCCAACAGATCTACCTCAAGTCTCCATAAGCAGTGATCTAAGCGAATGCACCTCACACACTGCGGGGATCAATACCAGTATCTGCACAAGAAATTCAAAAGTGTAGTATGAGTACAACCGACCCAATATACTCCGTAAGTGTTGAGCATAACCTCGACGAGGTAGTGACGAGGTTATGATAGGACACCTACGTAAATAAAAATGTACAAGTTTATATAAACAACCAATAATAACAGAGAATGGTA